AGATTCCGGCTTCGCTCCGCCCTTTTGGGATCAAGGAAACTATTTGCCGTTTAGCTAGGCTTTTGCGCGTGGCCTCAAAGCTGGGAGCCACCAGATTTCGGCTTTACTTGGAGAAAGAGGTTTAGGTGCCGTTTGGCGCGGCTTCAAAGCTGGTGACGTCGGCTCGTTCCATGAGACAGTCAATTATTTCGCAGCAAAATAATTACAGGAAACGATGTTTGTTTCTATACTGCCTACGAGAACCAAGCAGCGATAGCAGACGACGGAGTCGAAACGACCTCCTCTCTTGAGCTCCTCGGCGTTGCCGCTACGCGGCGTCGATTTCGCTAGCGTCGTCAATAAATAGGCTGTCCAAGCAGAGCCTAAACAGTTACTCTAAGGGGTCCGCTCAGGCAGCGCCATAACTGCCCCAGCGGTAAAATCCAAAAACACAAACGTGCTCATTTTTTTTTTTTAACTTTGGAAAGGATGAAATTTTGCGTTGGCCCTTGGCTTTCCCCTCTCCACCCGTTTCTACGTGCGCTTTTAGTCTCCTGGGGCCTAACCTAGACACTCTGGCAACCGAGTACGACTGAGAGAGACGAGACTTGTTAAAACCTCTTAAAATTTCTTAGGAAGAGAGAAGACACTGGCACGCTGGCGCCATCTATGCGGTGGCCCTGGAACTGCATTTCACAAGAGCCAAGGTTTCGCGGTATTTCCGAGGTCAAATGTGCGTAATACCTAAAAGAAAGGCTCGTTTATAACACTGACAAATTTTTCGAGCCAAGAAAGAAAGGATAATGCGCGAGAGAAATAGAAAATATGCCGGACTGCCAAGTTTGCACTGCTACCCAATAGAAGGCGCCAGTGTGTCCTCTCGTAGACTGTAGAGATTACCAAGCAAAGATTAAGTGAATGGTGGCAGAAAGCGAGAGAAAACTAGGTATTTTCTTATTCACTGATGGCAAGGGGTTTCATAGCCTCACTTTCTTTGCACTGCGGAGTGAATATAGATTTCACATTTAAATATTCTAAGCTTAAATGGTAAAACAAAATAGCTAGGCGGCGTAAGCTACCGCCCGATCCAAAGGGCTCAGCCGTATTCATCCGTCCATCCGTTGTAAGAGGTTTCAAGGAACCCAGTTTTAAGAGGTCGTAAGAGTGTGAACGGGCTTTAACACGCAAAAGCCACACGGTGGCTTTTGCGTGTTACAGTCTCGCATTTCGGAGTGGCGGATGACTGCACAGCTGCACGACGACCGTCGTGATGCATTCGTTACGATCCATGTAGTCCGCGGTGACCGTTTTACTGAAAGAGGGCGAGAGAGAAAAGGGGAAAGAGCTACCGGCGCTTTCCCCCTTTCTGATTGTGTAGGAAGAGTGAAAGTCCCGGATGAGAGGCTTCACCGGTGTTGGGTGTCTGCTTTGCGCGAACTTCGTTCGCGCTTTCTTTTCTGTTTTAAACTCGCAAACTTAATTAAAGCCAGAGGCTTCGATGGCAACAGTCGCCCGGTCATCGGGACACCACTGCTGGGTCATAGGGTGCACGAATAAAAACAGAAAGCATAGAATAATGTCCGAGGACATATGTAGCTTGCAAGGAATCCAGCAAGGCGAGAGCGGCTGCAATGTCTTTGAACTCCATCGCTTTCCACATGACTCCTGTCTCCGGGGGCAGTGGATTGCTTGCGTCCGTAAACCGAAAAGACGTTTCCTCAACGCCATCCTCTCGACTTCGCTCGGAACATTTCGTGAATGAAGCACGCACCGAACGCTGTGCCGCCGATGAACATGGGGTACGCTCGCAATGTGCGTGCGAGTTTTCTCATGATAACTGCTGTTTCAGCTTGTAAAATTTCGTAACTGAATTTATCTTACTAGTGATAATTTGTAGTGGTGACTGAATCGATTCTATGATCTACAACACTTAGTTAGAGGCTTTTATTTCCGCCGCCGGGTGAGGCTGGAAATTGTTGAAAACGTAGTTCTATTGATTTTTTTTTTTATTTATTTTTTATTTTTTTAATTGCGATCTCCTGCGCGATACCAGAGAGCCGGCAAAAGCGCTCCTTCGAGTGCCGCTGGTGGGTTGTCTCCGTTGACTAAGGCGCTTTGAGGCGCTTGATAGTCGCTGCAGGGAACGACTCGCGTGTTGCGATCTGCGTTTTCGAGCCCAGTGCGCACGTTTCTCTGTTTGAGTCATGGCATCCGCCAGTGTGGCGACGGGGGGAACAGCGGCAGCGAACGTGCCAGCGATAGAAATTGGAGGTGAGTACTCAAAATTTTGCATCAAATAGTAAAGTAATTCGTGGCTGCTTCGAGGCTTTCTGCGGTTCGATAAAAGTACATCTACAGCGTCTTCGTCGTTCATTCACAAGGAAATATAAGAACAGGGACACGAAGATCAAAACAGCACAGCAAGACGATATGTAGCAGCTCCGGGCGTTTACAAAGTTAATTGAGGTTCCCGTTTCGTGTATCGCTTGCTGATTACAACTAAAAGCGGCTACGTTTAAATAGGCCCATTGCTGGCAAAAATGTATAAATGGTTCATCATTTCCAGTCATTCGGAAAGCAATGGAGCTTAAAAACATTCCAGCCGTACTTGCCTTGCCGGATTCCATGCAAGCTACATAGGTCCTCGGACAGTATTCGACGCTTTCTGTCGTTATTTGTGCACCCTATCACCCAGCAATGGTGTCCCGATGACCGGGGGACTGTCGCCATCAAAGACCATGGCTTTAATTAAGTTTGGGAGTTTGAAACGTAGAAGAAAGCGCGAACGAAGTTGGGGCACTGCAGACGCCCAACACCGGCCAAGCGTCTCATCCGGGACTTCCACTCTTTCTACACAATCAGAAAGGAGGAAAGCGCCGGTAGCCCTTTCCCCTTTTCTCTCTCGCTCTCAAAATGGCGCTACCCACGATAAAACGGTCTATAAACTCGAGAGGACGAGGAACTCGCAAAATGTCAGCCAGGACGAGTACTCACTCTGGCACATGGGCATGCGATTCGGGCTAGAACCGTGCGAACCATACGACAGACCGACCGTCCACCCGACAACATCTGAAGAGGGCCGGTGTCGCCAAGAAATGCCTCACATTTAATGATCATTCGCCGTCTTTGAGGTATGCGGTATTAGGTGTTTTTTTAAAAGCGTGCTCACGTAACCGTTTGGTTCGCTTTTCGTGCGGTTCGCTGAGCTCTTCTGCTTTTCTTTTCTTCGGAGGCCCAAGCTACCAGGATCCTGACATCCAACAGCATTACACTCCGGCTTCAGTGACGTAACAGTGAATGCCGCAATCTGATGGACTCCGTAGCGATGACTTGATGCTTGGGAGTCGCGACACCCTGCGTTTCTTTAGCAGTACGTGACATAGCATATAGCTGGCATGCGGGAGCGGCGGTCCCGCTTTCCGCTACGACCATACCTGCCGGATCAGGCCACCGTTCCGACGGTTTTTTGTACGACGAATCGGACGGTTCTGACGCACATGACTATCGCGCTTTGAATTAGTTTCCGCCTCGCCGCTTTCTTAGTCCAGTTGTCATTACCTATAAACGTGGAGGTATGTCGAGACCGGTTATAACGAAGTCAACAGGAATCGTAGACCCCTTCGCTATATCCGCTATTTCGTTATAACCGTCTTCGGTTATAACAACGTGCAAAAGGGAATGGGAAATCGTGATCGCTTCGCTGTAGCCGCTATTTCGTTATAACCGGTCTCGACAGTAGGAAGCTTCCGGAGGCGACATGACACACCCAGAGGTGAAGCCGTGAGGGATTTCCGGTTAGGAGGGAAAACATCCCAAGCGATGACCAAAACCAAAAGACGCTATAGGACGAACTTGGGCATCCTTGGGTGGCGTTTTCAGTGACTGCGACCCTCTATTTCCTGCTTTACTCGAATGTTCCCGTTTGGCTCGTTTGAGCCGGTATGTCGCTGCCATCCTCTTCCTACCTCCATGCCTATAAACAACAAATCCGTAGAACTTACCGCTTGCACACACCTTCATTTCAAAAAAAGAAAACCTCAAAATACAAATGCCAAAAACGTGTATCGTTTCGGTGATAACTAAGAATTCGATCCTTTTGTATTCCAGATTTGATATTAGTTAGGTCACTCAGGTATACGAAAAAAAAAATGTTTTGCTAATTTCATATTTCATCTAGAAAATGTAAACGTCACAATACGCTGTCAGGTGAGCGTCTCCCACAATCGCCCAGAAGAAATTTTCTCCCAATGTTGAAAATGGCCTCTCAAGAAAACAATAAATATGCACGTCGTGTAAACTCAATAGTCATGCAGATCCCTCGCCCCAACAAGAAAAACACACACGCACGCACGCACGCACGCACATTTTTGGTGGGAGTGAAAAATTAAGCCCTGGTCACGCTGCTAATACGAAAGACAGTCTGCAGGCAGCCTGTGGCGCGTTTGTACCTCGTGTGACACTCCTGTCACACTGCGCATACAGTCACTGTCCGCAGATATGTTCCAAGCCAGCATACGTATGAAACGAACATGGATCGAACATGGCCGAAGCGCATCCGCAGACAGTTCTGTCATCGTGTTGGCAGAAAACAACGTCTCTTTTGTACCACGTTTGTGCGAAAAAGAGCATCTGAGTGACTATGAATTCAAATTGAAAGGTTAAGACGCGCAAAAAATGACATAAATTTGCGAGGCGGATAAATATTTACCGCCTTTTCTCGACCTTTTTAGTACACAAAAACAACTTAACCTTAAAACGATGCGGCATTTAATGCGCGCGTCCACTGTTCAAACCCTAGAAATATTTAAACGCGGAAGCCCATGCACTTCCATTGAAATTTCCTCGATGACGACACTATAGGGACGAGAAGAAATATCACCGAAAGAGCTTCCGCCGTGTGGCAGACACCTGTACCGTGAGCGGCGCCACATTTCATTTGGGTGCTCCTCGAAATAAAAGGTAGGGTCATTCGCCCCCTCTGACGCACTACGTAATATTTCGCGAAAAGTTTTGCAAACGAGATGGAATGGTTGCTGCTCTGCGCGCTATTCTTTCGCGCTTCTCGTCATATCACGGCCATAACCACGGATGCACGTAAGTATGCTGTGCTTTTTTGTTTGTGTGTGTATGGCTGTAGTCAGAATGAGATTGACAGGGACGAGTTTCAGTTCTCCGTCTTCCAGCGCGAGCTTCCTCTACCTTCGATAACGCCTCGGCGTGTCATGAGCCTCGAGCGTGCACGAAAAGCCAGAGCACGACGGAAGGCAACAAGCCCGCGCTGGAGGCAAGGACTTCGAAAGAGACGCCCTGCCGTTCTCATCTTATCAGTGACTATAGTCGCTAACAAGATGAGAAAAGCAGGGGGAATAGTCACTGGGCAAGATAAGAACTGCAGGGGCCATGCGCTGAGAAACAGATTGAGAGTAGAATACGAGAGCGCCGAGCTCTGGTTCGAATGATTAGTGGGTGGACCCATAGGGTCATTGTAATGTGCGCTCCAGATTCGACTGGCGCTATAGCGTGCTGTTGGAAATTAATGCAGACAGCAACCAGTCGAAAATTGACTTCCTGTAACGCATGTCTATGGGAAAAAGTGAGTGCATTTTCTCGCTGCGCTCAATTATAAGATCAAATTTCACGAATAATTGGTACGTACTAGATACGTAGGAAATGTGTATGTTATTACAAGGGCGCGGTTCCGAGTAGGCAGTTCCTAGGCGTTAGCTGTGTCTGTGTATTTTTGGACTGTGTAGTTTGTTAAAAGAGGGCAGTTCGTTGTTTTTTATTTTTCGTTTTTAGAGGGCAAGGTGGTTTCTTTGAATGGATGGATGGATGGATGTTACTGGCGGTGACATCCAGCCATCCATCCATCCATCACAACGTAACAACATAACGGGCGGGAGCTTGCGCCATATAGCCTAAGTCTAAAAAAACAAACTTACGATTCCTCCCGCCCTTTTAAGCAGATTTTCTCGCCCTATCACCAGCCACTGTGGGATATCGTTAGGATGACATGGTGTTCAGGTGTGAAGCCCTTGCGTTCGCGGAGGGCAAGTTGGTGGTTCTACTGAACTGCGACGCTTTCTGTAAATGCTTCGCAGTCCATGTTAGGGGAGATAAGAATAGGCTTACCCCCATTTTTGTTAAAAACTGTGCCTGTGTGTCTTTTTTTTTTTTGTTAGCTCTTGTTTTATTGTGTCTTTTTGTCGTGTGGTTTTGTTCCTTCTGGTGACTGTAGTGACGGCGTTGGAGACGTGGTATATAAGGCGTGTACGAAATAAACTTCGTGGCTGAGTTTGAGATGTTGCCCGTTCTTTTTCTGTCTTCATTTAGGTTGTCCTTTTCCTACCCTAGTCTTAGGTTTACCATCTTGTTCGAATTACACCAGCTCGCCTGCGCTTCATATGTTTTTTCTTTTAGGGCGTTTTTTTCCCCCAAACTCATGGCATTAAACACAGTGCTAAAACAGCTTCACACTGGCATTTATGTGCACTGCCGGACACTGTTAGCGCGAACGCGGCGTCGGTTTCTTTCTGCGTGGGGGGCATACGTGTCAAACGAACAAAGCTAGGACATCTGGAAAAACTAAAGAGACGCCAAGATCTACGCAGTAACACTGTGTGAATAACTCGTTCTGCATGTAGATTATCAAAATAAAATTCAAACCCACGTAATATAGTCTGATTTGCAACAGGTAAGTACAGCTTTATTTTTCCTGCTCACGAATTTGTGCGAAGATGCTCGTTCTGCTCTTAAAACACTTTACGTTCCTTTTGATTCAATCTGTGTTCCTGCTATGAAACACAGATTGGAGCCCTACAGCTAAGTTTAACATCGTTCAATGCTGAAAATAAAACATAACTAAAGCAATTACACTTTTACAGTGATAATAAAGGTATACATACTATTCGATACGACCCAAATAACAAAGTTATCCATGGTATATTTTCCGGCGAGGATACAAAATGCAAGCGCATTTTCCGACACGAATGCACAGCAACACCGCAAAAGTAGACTGGTTGCCGTTTGCTTCCATTTGCATCCCGGAAGCCCCATAGACACCAGCGCCAGATTAATCTCTAGCGTACATCATAATACCTCTATGGGTAGACCTAAAGCTGGCTGCCTTTGTCTCCAATACGGTGCCTGGAACGCGTCTCCGACTGGTGTGTTTACCCGGTCCAAAAAAGTGGTCCCTCGATTTCCGCCTGATGACGTCATAGAAGTGTCATGCTGTCGCCGGTCGCAAACCTGGCGGCGTCCCAATGGCTGCGGTGTATGTGGCAGGCGCCTGTTCTGCTGCAGGTCGCTCTCCAATGCGGCAGTCCACGGAAGCTAAAGCAGCCGGAAGTTGGGACGCCTGGAATGCCGTGATGACAGCGACACTCGCGTTCGCCTGTGGTTTTCGCCAGCATTTCTACGACCAACCGCCAGGATCTCGACATGCAACAGCATGACGCTCCGGCTTCTGTGACGTCATTTGTTGCAACTTTGGGACCACTTTTGATGTATGGGCGGGATAGGACGGTAAACACACCGGTCGGAAAAGCGCTCCAGGCACCATAGTCTCCACTGCACTTTTCGAATGCGTTAGAACGCGGAATCCCGGCGTCCGGAGTTAGGCGTTCGGCTTTCGCATTCGAATGCCCTCGACGAGTGCAATGAAGACAAAGGCAGCTTTCGTCTCTACTGCACTCGTCGAGAGAGTTATAAATCTGAACGCAGGCGAACGGCGTTTTTCTCTCGCATTCGAACACGTTCGTTAAGTGCAGTGGAAACAAAAGCAGCTATAGCATTGAGGTCTACCCACTATCTTTTCCGTTAGAGCAAATCAGAGCGCGGCGTGTTCTGAAGTCACTGCAACCCCTGCACAAGAAGCAGACGAATTTTCGCTTTGCAAAAATTTTCGAACGAAAACGTACGAAAACCCTTACTCTGGAGTAAGATCGAGTAAATTCTGGAACACGACCAATGATACGAGGGCCCGGCAGAACAGATGGACAGCATTGGTAGGTGGCGCGTGAAGTCAAGTATGACCAGAGCTCTGAGTAGGACCAGCACCGAGGTCACCATAAAGCGATGGAAGCAGGGAGGAAAAGCGCGATGTCTGCTCGGTGCTGTTCAAACAGACCTCGGACTGCCGGACGCTTCAAAGCTTACACGATTTTTGACGGAGTCGTGCCGCCTCCCGATTTCTGAAGTGTCCTGCATGAACAGGCCGTAACACTTGGGCGTCTCGTGAGATTCCAGAGTGCCCAGGTGGCCAAAGCACGATACAAGGAAACGAACGCTTGCTAGAAGTGGGAATTTGAGAAGAACGCCATCCGGCTCTCGTCCAGTCAGGGGCCCGTAGCACTCGGAGCACGCGTCCACAAAACGCGGCCATTTAATGTTGACCATGGCGTCTGCAAGACGCGACCAGAAAGTCGGCTTTGCAGAGTTCGATTAAGCAGGAGCATAGCCTCCTATATACTGACAAAGCCTGGCAGATCAGCACGAGACGCGGCCACCGAAATGGAAAAGGTAGAGCGGCAGACAACGGATGAGAGAAGAGCCACTTGACTAGCGCCCCGCGCTGCGGCGAGACGCTGAAACACAGTTCTCCAGAGCGAACAAGTGTATTTTGGGTTTGGATGGAACACCGCGGATGAACAGTTAATCACAGGCACACAAGAAGGAAACAGACTCGCAGCGCTGACTTACAACTCCAGTGCTATATTTCTTCTTCCTCAAATCTTCAACCTTTTCGCCTTCGCCGTTAATGAGAACAATTTCAATTTTTACACACCAGAGACCAAATAGCCTTCTTGTGTGCCTGTGAGTGTGACTGTTCATCCGCGCTGTTCCATCCAAGCATGAATTCCCAACTAGCCCAAACATCCACATTATAGTGTTTTGGGTCTTCGCCGCTGCAAACGCTGTGCACTGCCAACCAGGTTCCCCGAGAAATGACTCTTTGATGCTCAGTACGTGCTACCAGGTCCTCGTGCTCCAAATCTGCGACCGAGCACTCTGTGGCTTCGTCGTCGAACTGCCAGGCTTTGTGAGTATTCAGGAGGCTATTCGTGCAGAACATTTTTATAGTTAAAACTGAAATTTCAGGGACTTCAACTTCTGGTTCCAGCAAAATCTCGCAGAATACAGCTTAGCGAAAGAAACCTATCAAATTGTGCATTTATTTTGCTCGCGTCCCAATGGTGTGGAAAAGCGGAGCAGCGGATTGTTGGCCCAGACTTGAGTTTTTGTTTGATTAGAATACGTAATTCGCAAACAGAGAAATAACTGGCATAATCGGTCATAACAGTTTAAGGAGTTTAGCTACCGATGGACAGAGTGAGAAAGTAACCAAAGCGTTATTTTAACAGCGGTGGCGATCTCAAACGAGACGTCAAGCTAGCTAGTAGCGCCATTTCATACCTTTCCGTCAATCTTGGCGACGTTTAGTGCATTACCGCGTGTCGGAGCCAATGAGAGCTACCTTGTCTTTCTCTCTCTCTCTCGAATGTAAGAAATACGTGGGTATAGCATCATAAGGACAAAGTCCAACAGCGTTTATTGAGCACTCTCTAAAGTAAATTCACACTGGTGTCTGAAACGTAACCGCGAAGCGTACCTGCTCGTTTTCATAATCAAACGCGAGTAAATTGTATTCGATCTTCAAGCCCGCAACCGCTTTCCGAATGCGGTTCGATCGCCAGTGCCAAGGCGGCGTAAAGGACGCTTCATGCCCCCATCCAAAACATACCCCCGCACCGGCAAGGCAAGAAAACGTTCTACCTGCCGGACGCAGGATCCCGAAGGCCTACAGGCGTATAATTGTTTCCTCAAGGAATGAAACTAGAGCGAGTCCGGGGTATCTGCTTGGTCTTTTTGAAGCACGTCACAAATGTTCTCGTTTTCTCTTACTGACAGGAACCATTCAAAACTTGAAAGTGTTTCCAGCAATCCTCAGTGAGCGGAGTTCGGCGAACAAAATTTCTATGAGGATTAACGACAACCTTGTGCTAAACCTGGAAAAGAGCTCCGTATTCTCAGACAAGTTTCAGTTCACAACACATACGGAGAACTCTAAAATCACATACCAAGTGAGTAAAGTCCCGGTCCCTTGTTTTAAACCTTAAAGGGCCCATGAAACAATTTTTGGGCTGATATAAATGAATTTAGATTGGGATTTTACTTATAGCGTATCGGTTAGTGGGCAGAAAGATGGCAGAAAGTCAAAAATCCGACTTTCAGTACGAAAATTTCAAAACACAACGAACTATTTCGTACATCCTCCCCTTCGTAAGCTCTCTGCCTTTTCACTGTGGTACATCCGCGGTCCCCAAACCGTGTCATCTGGCCCAAACACACGTCACACAACACCGGACCTCATTTATTCCCTCAGCCCCAAGCTGACCGTGCTGTAGAAGCTATGCGCTTGCCGGACCAATCAGCCAATTCCCTTTCATCGCTTGCCCTCATTCTCTGCGCGTGGGTATGCGCGAGAGAGCGTGATCACGTGGTAAAAGTGTAGCTGGCCCAACGAGCACGTAGCTTCCACAGGACAGTCAGCGGGGCGGGGAAAGTAACTTCTGTCCGAGTTTTGAGCGACGGGCTAGTCTTCTAGGGGAGAATGGCGGTCTCCGGGTCCACAAACGAGGGTCCCAGGTCCCTCCTTTACGACTTTTTAAACTTGAAGGTAAACCTTCGGCAGCCCTCAGCCTAATTAGGAACAGACATGAAGCGAAAAACAGGGACTCTAACAAAGTTGAACCGTTTGGTACAATGCGCGACTTACAAAAACAAGCAAAAAATAACTTCCTTCGTGACGTCCTTGGTCCTCTGTCCCCTCTTTTCCCGCGCCGGAGGATTCCCCTCGTGGGGAGTAAGGTGGGGAAAGGAGGTGAGGCGAAGAGAGAGAGATGCCTAGGAACGGGGCAGCTCTCTTTTCTCGGCTGACGTCAGGACCAATAACGTAACGATTTCGTCACATGCCGCGCGCGTTCGACACCACGGGACGCCCCCGTAGGAGGAGGTTTCCACGTCGTCCGGTTAAAATATGAAGCACTGATATTTAGCTACTCTCTCCGTGCCCGCTGGGTTTCCCAAACCACATGAGACGCGGAAACCTCAAAAAGAGGTAGACGATTAAGTAGGATTGCAGGGCCCCTTTAAAAAAGCTGTGCAACAATTTCAGTGCTTTGCTTAAAGGGCAACTCCGCTTCATTTTTGGTTTTGAAAAAACAATGCAGTCCTCTTCAGTATCGCCTAGGAAGACCACAGATCAAATATTACGACGCAGTTCTGTCTAAATGTTTCTTAAACGGTCCGGCAAACTTTGCAACTCGCCAAGTTGCCGAAATCGCCTGACTCGAGCGGGCGAATTCAGGCGCAACCAACAGCGCAGTCAAGGCTACGGCATGGGCGGAGCCAACATTGAGCTAAACGTCATCATCATGGCCCCCTTTAGCTTGTTTTTACTTCTCCGATCGAGCGTAGCGCATGACGTCAGCAACCGCCTCTCGGCGCTCAGCGGTGTCCACTTGATTGGCGTACGCGCCTACGCAGCGCGCTTCTTGGGAGCAGACCAACCGCCCGCCGTGGTCCCGCCGTTACCGCCGTCTTCCGCGTCACAACCACCGTCGTCGTCTCACCTTTTGCGATTATTACTTCTCGGAGTATTGTCTACACTATGGACACCACGTGCGCAGAGTCGCAGACTTATGCCGCAGGTGTGCAGACGTTGTCGAATGCCGTAGACACCAAAACGTGGCGAAGAGTGCGGTGCAGACGACACTCGCGCCTGCCGTACGCCCGCCCCCATCCCGCCTGTCGTTGGGCCGAGGATCACGTAACATCTCTACTTGGCGGCCCGAGGCCAATGTTGCCGGACGGAGCCGAAGTTTCGATTTCGATTTCCGCTCGTGTTTAAAATTATATTTAAAAATATATATCCTATTTTTCGCGAAGCAAACGACGTAGTGTCTTTTACTAGGGCTTTTTAATTCGAAATCACTCATTATCCCGATATCTTCGGAATTGAGCAGAGTTGCCCTTTAAATAATTTGGGAGTTGGTGTCTCGACCTTTAAAAAGTAAATAACAAAAATCTGATTTTACCTGCATGTTCTAGTTTTTATTTTAAAAATGAACAAAGATTGAGGTTTTCGGCCCCTCTCAACTCCTTCACCTTCTTCCGAGTCACGTGCGCTGTGACGTCAATGGGGGTCGCGCGGGGTACCGGTGAAGCTCTCTCTCTCTCTCTCTAGAGCCATCAGTGAAATGCGAGAACTGATCCACTCGCTACCGCGTGGCCACGTGCTGGCACAGCGCAAACAATATGGTGAACGGAGGAAAGTCTCATCCGGGTCCGGCCATCCCCGTGCCGCTCTGTCCCCCTCCCCCTCCGGCTGTTCGCGGTAGCAGATAGAGCTGACGGTTTTGTGGACCTAAGATAGATGGCGCCACTGAACTTCGTATAACAAAAGCTTTGTCGATGATACCAGGTGTTTGACGCATTTATATTTATGTTTGAACGACAAGATTTATAGAAGAGTTACCTTTCATCGAGCAGGTACTCGCACAACTTGCTATCTTTCTACAAGACCCCATTGCAGACTTGTGATGGTTACTTTAAAAATGTAATGGATTACAATTACAAATTACCGAGCCTCAAATGTAATGGATTACCGTTACAAACTACTTTCGCTGAAAAGTAACGGATTACTTTACTCGTTACGTTACAAATTACTTTCACGTTACTTTTTCCGTACACTTATCCAGAAAACAATAAAAACAAATTTCATATTTTTCAAAAATATTTTGCAACACTACTTTTCATTACTCATACCCCCGTATTATGGCAGTCCTTGAAAAATAAAATGTAGGTGCACTCGGTTCCCCTGTAAGCTGACAAGGCACCGGAAGCTTCAACGGCACCCGCCATCCCGCTAGCTTACGGCCTCCGGAAATAATCCCTGGAATTGTGAAGACAACGTTAACAGTGCGCATGCTCAGTAGCAGCGTCTACCTCCGCTACGAGATACGGAGCTAAAGACGCGATCTACGAAAGCTCCCTTTTGACTCGGGTGTTTCGCCTGTTATTCACAAGAACAGAAAAACTTATCTATCGTTACAATGCACGGTTAATGCAGAATGCAGATGTCCCAGCTTACCTTTATGTGTTTCCGTAGATTAGAGTTTGTTGCTCTTGCTGAGGACAAAGTGTGTTTTTTGGAAAGCAAAGTATGGTCTGAAACGTTAGGTTTCCGTTCTCCTTAATTCCCCGAATTTTTGAACATCTCATTAAGAGATGGCCATAGAGATAACGGATACTCCATGACCGAAAACTTGACCAGTCAGGGAGAGAGTGGCGGTTACGGGTTATTGATCGTTCATCGGTTCTCACTTTCATACTAATATTCGTGTACGCCAGGGGAGGGGAGGGCATAGACAGCGAGAGAAGCGGTGGCCGTCGGGCTCACAAAACAATAAAGGACCACAGCACTTTTACGCGTTCTCTCTCTCTCTGTCTGTCAGCTCTCCTTAGATGGCCTAACCTCCCCCCCCCCCCCCCCCCCCCTTTATGTTGACATTTGACTGTAAAGTGGGGAGTGGACTCGGCCACCGTTCCCAGACAAGTAAACCAAAAGAAGTATCGCATCTTCGAAGATGATGCTCTTCGCCTCTCGCCGGGCGATTTTCAGTCGTGCCTCATCAGTGTGCCAGAATGAAGTAGAGCACATCAAAGACAAAGAATTCGACACCCTCGCGCGAGGCTACATCGTCTGTTACGCGAGTTGTGAACCCGCGAATCAAGAGGGCACGGACCCGGGTTTGATCTCTGTGCAGGTGGCAGGAGACGCCACAGTCAGGAAAGGTGAAACGGTGTAAAAGACAACAACAAATAAACACCAAGAGTTTTCTCCTGCCCTGATAGAAGAAGTAAAACACGATGGAAGGCGACGGAGAGTCTACTCAGCGTCGTCGCACTTGGTCATTGTTTTTTTTAATATTTGTACACGCCTTGAACACTTTTCTAGTGGTTCAAGTGACCGATCATACAAAAAACCGTGTTTTCTCTCCCGTTCCTGATGTTTTCTATTTTGTTGAACATGCTCTCTTTGTACTGTTGAATGTTCTGCTCGTACTGTTCTAGTTAATGCATTATGATCATATATTTTAAAAAGGAACGAGTAATTAAAGTAATCCGTTATCAATATTTTGTAACGAAATTACATTACAAATTACTTCCGAAAACAGTAACGTGGTAATTACAAAATTACTTTAAAAAGCAACAGATTACAAGTAATCCGTTACTTGCAACGAATTACTTCCCAAGTCTGCCCCATTGACGTCATGCCGCGTGATTCACATGGCCGCCGCTCGCGGCTTCAGATCGGGGAATATTCAAATTTTTGCCTCGCGATTACGCGGCGGAATCGCAACATTTTGAAGGAAGGATGTGTGCTTTCTGTCCTTTGTGACAGAATAAACAACCTCAAAAGTAGAAGATGCCAATTCTTTCGACGTTAAAACCATTGCCCAGCTCCTTTAAGGCATTTAAACTTGCTATTCACGATTAAGAAAATACGCGTTCTGTAACTTTTCATTTACGAGTTTCGAGTTCTACGCTGAAATAGAGCCGGGAAAAATGGGTACTTACCTTTGTTCACCGGTACGCACTATTCACAATATCTACTTCCGCTGAAAAAACTTCCTTTTATGAGGACACCATCTGGTCTATAAGAAACACTCAGTTGAACATCAGGAACACCTTTATTCAGGTTCGTGGTACATCTTTCATGTGATGGTGGGGCACGTCATCCGTAAAGCAAAGTTCACTTGAACACTCAACCAATGTCGTCCCGCAGCTGATGATGCCTCAATCTGATCACCCTTTAACGCCAGGTTAGCCAAAAAGATCAAGAAACCCCGCCTGCATCACATTCCACGCGGCAAAACAGGCGTCTGGGGGGCTACCTTCACGCATAGAATACGCAAGGTGAACCGCAGTTATACAAGGAATGCGTTTAGTGAATTACAATGCTCATAAGGCAACCTGGCTGGGAGAGCTTAAATTACGCTGAAAATATGCAAAATAAAACGTTTTAGGGGGATCGGTGGCCGAGTGGGCTAGCGCACACCAGCTCGAAGCACGTGGAGCGAAAGCTCGTGCTGCAGAACCCAGGGATCCTGGGTTCGAGCCCCACCCCTGCCCGCTTCGATCTGGATGAGCATCGTATCGGCGTGCGGTCGTGTATCACTACAGCGTGGTGCACGTCAAAGACCCCAGGCTAGCGGTTGTACTGCACTGGCTAAATTTCTCATCTACAGCTGGGAGACTCGTCGCCCGTCGAGGCAGCCCAAGTTCTAGGCCGTATAAACATACACACAACCAAATTTTAAAAGGTTTTACACCTTTAATTATATAAACGAGCTTATCACAGGGCTAATGCCCTAAGGGTGTTACAACACCTTTAGGATTCTGGTGAACGCCCAAAAAGTATATGTTGGGGATTCAAAAAACCTCCTAAAACAATTTTTTTCGTTTTTTTTTTATGTTTTTTTTTTTTTATGAGCGGCGAGATTATAGTTAACACGTACAGATGTAACGTACACAGCAAGTAATGAATTACGCACGAACTCTCTTCAGCGTACAGCACTTCTCAGCACCCCTTTTACACCCTTTAAAATGACGGGTGTTCCATGTAACAGAAGCCTATTTTATGATTGAGAAGCCTGCATTTTGTCGAAATAAGGGTGCTGAAATGGCGTGGACATGAGTGTCAATCTGAAATTGCCTTTTTACACCCTATAACGATGTAAAATTTCTGAGTGTGTGAGAAGGGCGTTTCACGGATCATTATATAGCTGCGCGGACTGCCCTCACGATTCTCTAAGTTTGCCGCAGATATAGTCACCCACAGTGTGAGAAATTCAGGCATTGTCTGATCATGTTCTCATTTCTTGCTTCGTCATTCGTTCTCCGGCGTTCTTATCATCCAATGCCACCATCTCATTGGATGCGAACCGATAATGGGATAGTCGAGACTCACCACGCCTTGCGTTGCATAAAGTGTCAGTGTCTATGGTGACTAATCCCCCAAGAGTCACCGGCTGGCAAACACGTGTAAAGTTTTGTTTGATTGTTTGTTTGTTTGCTTGCTTGATTGATGAATAAAACAATGAATTGATTGATTGATTGATTTGACACGCTGCAAGTCCATAGGCCAAAGGAGGTCGGCGGCGGTGTTAAATGTAAAGGATGTTGAAGCATAAAAAATAGCAGAAAACTGAGTGTGATGCCACGCCTATTCTCAATATATTTCACACGAAGTGAGCATGCACAAAAAATAAACTCTGCCCATAGAGTAGAAAACAAGAATATCCTGGTGACGTTAGCTGGCATACGATTGCTCCTGCAGTTTTTTTATTATAATTCTATCGGATGGTAATGTATACTCATAATAGGATTTATGCTTTCTTCAAATCCTTGCCTTTGTAATAAACATAATCATTTCTCTTTATGCTAACAGATCAATGCATCTGATGTAGAACACAACCTGTACCACGACATTGAGAAAGACGCTGCAATCATGATAACTGATGATGATGATGGTCTTCGTGTTGTGAGTTGGCCTCAATTCTCCTGATCGCCTTGTTGAGTAAAAAAAATAGCAATGCGGTTTTCTAGATATATTTCAGACTTGTTTTTGTTATTTTAATTAGGAATATTTGTTTGACAGGAGAATATATCGTTTTACCTCTATATATTGCTACATCAAGATTGGACAGCATAGCGATAATATTTCAGAAATACATTTTGTGTATGTTTCTGAATTCCGATCCAATAATTCAAAAGTATTTTGTAATTCTGAATCAAAATACATTTTCAGGTATATATATGGTATCGCGATACAAACAGGAGCTGACGTATCTCCTGCAATTTTTTAAAAAATGTAACCTTCCAAGCAGAAGTTCAAGCTGAAAGTTTTCGTTCTCTTTTAACAAAAATGGTGGTGATGTGAAGGGGTGGCCTCGTTGCAATGCAGGTCAAGGTTCGGTCGGGTTGTATTGTCTCTGATTATACGTGACCCCGTCTCTATTCAGCAGAGATAAATATTGTCCCAAGGTGGTCAACTTTGGTAGATTCCAAAAGTTGTATGTGCACAGGTCCTATCCACAAATAGAAAATTGTGGGTTCATTCCACTCGGACATCGTAAGATCACTGCCGAAAAGAAGCACCCGGATTGGACAATAGCATGATAATGTTCTGATGTTATTTGGGAGGGCACAAAACTGATGTAAAGTTCGCTGTGTTTTTTTTTTTTTTCTTCCAAAAACATCATATGAAATGCCCCTCCCCCCCCCCCCCCCCCCCCGGCCCAACAAAAAATAATGCGCTTAATAGTGATGAAATTTTTTTTAATTTTTTTTTCCTAGTGGAGACTTGCTAGCTTTCCTTACCAGAACTACGCATTCTGTGCAATCGTAATTCTTCAGGAAATTTATTTCAAGCGCAATAAACGTAAAAGTCATTATTCAGGCTTCTTCTTACAATGAGTACTCGTTTGTCGGATTTAAAAACAAATATTGTATAATTTCTTTGGGTTATGCGAATCACGCTTAATTACTTTTCTTTATTTACACTAGTGGGTGCACCCTGTCAGTTCTACGGAGCATGAGAACATGTCAAATAGTTTCTTGAGAAAAATGCATCACTGATCATACACTTCTGCCCCAGAAAAAATGTAATCTTCTATTTTGCATTCACGCATACTATTCTCCTTTTCAAATGTATAGTTTATACATGTCTTCATATCTTTTTATATAAATGTATTTTAGCATCAATATTTTAGCAGTTTTTGTTCATGCATTTCAGTACTCATATTTGCAAATACTTAATAACGTATTTTTGCCCTATCTTGGTAAGGATCTACGCACTTTTTGAGGCTTTAGATAATATTGTTTTAAGCTGTGAAAGCTTCACTATGCGGTTTGGGCAGGTGAGTAATACGGCGCCGTGACAGAACAGCACTCGACAAAATAGCACGCGACAAAACAGCCCGGTCAAAACAGCACGCGTCAAAACAGCACAGCGTCAAAACAGCACAGCGTCAAAACAGCACGGCGACAAAACAGCATGGCGACAAAACAGCACGCGACAAAACAGCCCGGTCAAAACAGCACGCGTCAAAACACCGCAGCGTCAAAACAGCACGGCGACAAAACAGCACGCGACAAAACAGCACAGCGTCAAAACGACACAGCGACATAGTATAATATCAAAACACGTACAAGAGTGTAACAACTGCACGGCAGAGTGGTCGGGAACAGAAGTCGTGTGCAGAGAAGTGAACGATCTCAAAAGGGTATAGTGAAAGAGACGGTTATGATTACTTCTAAAGGCAACTGCACAAGTCAGGCATCGCTGGTTCTGGATCCCACTTCCAAGTCCTTCTTGCGTGTGCAATGTGGTTGGTTGATGTGTGTGGGACTTTTCGCTTTGAAAGTTAACTGTTTAAATTATGTTGTTTTTTAATCAAGGGTGTTTATTGGTCGTCTGTGTAATGTGGTTCGTTAATGTGTGTGGGTCGTTTCGCTTTAAAAGTGAACTGTCTAAATATTTGTTTTAAGCAAGGGTGTTTAATGGTCGTCTGTTCAGAGTGTTCGATCAGGATTTAAAAAGACGTAGGGGGTTCTTTATGTCTGCAGAAGCTTGGACTGCCGGAAGGTAAGGAAAGAGTGTTTGTGTCTACTAGGACGATGCCAAACCCGGGAAATAGGTCATGTCTTTTGTTGGGCTTTGGACCTGAACTTTGGGTTTTTTAATGTGGTGGTTGGTGATGGGGTTTGAGGTTTTGTTACTATATATGGAAGTGTCACTAAATAAACTTTCAGCTGAGTTTGAGACAACGCCTTTTGTCTTTCATGTTTCCGTCCCTTCCACTTTTCGTTCTTCTAGTTCCCCACCCAGTCTCAGGTGGTTCCAGAAAATGGTAAATCTACACCAGTTCGCCTGCGCCATCACAGCATTATTGTTTATCTTCATTAATTAGAAAGTTAATCAACAACTTTTAGTATATAAACCGATTTCCCTTGACGATGTGCCTGCTATAATACATCCCACTAACGGTATAATAATTTAAGTGTACTGACTGCATTGTGTAGCCAGTGCAGCTTTCACGGCACTTTTGAAGCAAATTTGTAAAGCCTAAAAACAAATCCTGTGTACAAGTGACATTATTTGAGTTCTTCTTGGCGCTCACATTCAAACGAATGGTAATTTGATGGAAGATTAACTATCAAGCTCCTGCGGATGGGCGTTTTCTCCATACGCTATTTTTGCAGGACAACGCCCTAGAAACGTTCTGGTGACCGGAATCTCGTACCAGCTTCTTGGTGTGGTGTATATGAAGAGGGAACGAGTAGAAACACACGAAGTCGATTACGCAACAGAGGCGTGACGCATAACTTCCCCCGCGATTTTAGTTCCTAATTAGAAAATTATTCGACAGAAACGCGAAACGCTGCCACTACAATTTAAAAAGAAGATCTTCGTAAAAAAATTATAAAAACGGCTTGACATAACAAGAAAAGAGTCAAATTAAATGTTTCACCTCCCCGTGTGCCAGGTATTGTCAGTAAAGCAAAAATTAATGGTCTGTGCTGTCTGCCCTACTGATCATGCGTCCCTCATGGGAGAGAAAACTTTAATTAAACAATTTTTATTCTAATTTTTTTATATTAGGCCGTTAATATTTTTTTCTTGTTGCTAGACTTTAGAGCTACACAATTTCCATACTTTTAAATATATGATATTGAGCGGGTAACATATATTTATTGCATAGGAAGGGATCTTGGGTGATACCATGCGGATAAGGCCGTTATCTGCGATGGAACGGAACGCAGAAGGACACGTGGCCCACGAACTATTTGAAGTTCCATTGCGACATCCGGGAGGTAAGAATTCCCAGCGCTCCATGTTTCCTGATAAAGATGAGAGGCACTCTTTTGAAAACTCGAGCTTTTTGTATTTTCGGTTTTGGAGAATGTCATAAATAGATTTACTCCCAATTTTACCTTAATCGATTGATTATGAGCTTTAATACTTTTTTTTTTTTGTTCTTCGCACTAGTGTATTTTTCGAGTTTAACAAAAAGAAATATTGAAACAAGAAATTGAAACCGCTTATGGTAATGCTTAGAACAAACATGTTTCATATAACATTTGCAACAAGTTTCTTAGAAAGGTGACTTTCCGCGTTATATGTGGTTGTAAAATTTTGACTAAATATTTTTATTAATGTCAATGGTATATCTCTCCACTTTTGGAGCTGTAAACCGTCTCAGACAAAATTATGATTTTGGAAACTTACATATTAATAATTAAAAGGCCATTGACAACACCAACGTCAATACAATATTATGGTCTCAAACGCAGGGAATCAAACCGAAAAATATAACGTTTCGGATACGGTTACGGTTACCATTTCCTGCTGATATCAGTCTCGTTTCGGATTTTTTACGGATTTAATTTTTACGGTTTCTGATACCAGTTACACGTTCCTAAAAGCTTTTTTTTTCTCTTTGTTTCTCCAATAATTTCATTCTTGAAATGCTAGACAGGCGTTATATAATAAACTGTTTAAGTAAGTAAGTAAGTAAGTAATATTTATTTTCAGCAATATTGTGCTGAGGGCACCAGACAAAAAGCTTCCATGAGGTAGCTTGACTGGGCCTGGTGCCCCTGCACTTACAGGGCATTATAAAAAAAACAAGTACTACAGAATACACTTTGACTAAACAAAACAAACACGTACATCTTTTTTTGTTAAACAGTGAATATCATTGTGGTCTATAAGGAACTTGTTAAGTAATGAAGGCAGGTTATGCGCAATAGATTGGAGTGCATAATTTGTACGAAAATGAGGCACGTTCCAGAACTCTCTGCGTCTGACAAGGATGAAGGATTCACGTTTTGTCAGATGGGATACATTAGACAAAAAAGAAGCAAACTCAGCGGTCGAAAATAAATAAGAACATAGCAAACGGTACTCGTATACACTGGCAATCCTCATGATGTTGAATTTAAGAAATAATGGCTCAGTATGAGTGTCGTAAGGCACGTTTGCAATAAAACGCAGCATTTTCTTTTGTAGGATCGTGAGTTTGTTAATATTAGATTTGGTTGTTGTGCCCCAAACCAAATGACAATAGTTAATTTGTGAGCTAAACAGAGCATGATAAATTTGCATTTTAATATTTACAGGCAACAAGGAGCGACAGTGGCATATTATTCCAACAACTTTTGACAGTTTCGTAACTAAGTATTCGATGTGATTATCCCATTGCATATGTTCTGAAAAAATGACACCTAGCGTTTTGTGCTGTTTAACTATTTCAATCTGGTCAGTTCCAATCTCTAGAGTATAATTACTAATAACGTGCTTATTTACAGGTCTAAACAAAATTGCTTTGGACTTTACAGTGTTTATTTTAAGACCATTTATTTTTGACCACGAAAGAAACTTTTCCAAAACTAAGTTTCCCATGGGTATAAGTTCGTCCATATTCGATGCAGACAGAAATATACTCGTGTCGTCTGCATACATTACAAAACGTGCTTGATGGCAAATATTGACTAGATCATTTATATATACATTGAACAGCAGAGGGCCGAGTATGCTGCCTTGGGGCACACCAAACTTCAAGATTTGCAAAGAGGAAACATGATCACTCACGGAGACACATTGCTTACGGTGTTCTAAATATGAATGAATAAGTATCAAAGGCGTGCCACGTATGCCATAACATGAAAGTTTATCAAGGAGCGTCGAATGGTTAAGACAGTCAAACGCTTTGCTAAGGTCAATAAATATTCCCAGTGTCAGCAGTTTGCATTCTATATTGTGTAATATTATTTCTTTCTGTGATATCAGAGCGCTTTCCGTGGATTTTCCCTTGCGAAATCCGAACTGGGAGTCAGTTAGCACTGAGGTCTTCGTAAAAAAATTGTCTAAACGATATAATATAATTTTTTCCAGCCCTTTAGAAAATATTGGAAGAACAGAGATGGGTCTATAATTTGTAACTAAATTTTTGTCTCCACCTTTATGCAAAACTGAAACTTTTGCGAGTTTCATGTTATTCGGAAATTGACCACTCGACAATGCTAAGTTAAATATATATACCAAGAGTGGGGCCACCACATCGATTACGAATTTAACGGGCTTTATTTGTATATCGTCTATGTCATGGCTTTTACTGTTATTCAATCCCATAAATACACGGATCACTTCCAATTCGTCTGTAGGTTGTAGGAAAATTGTGTCTGTTACACGGTGCGAGATAAACGAGGAAGCATGCTCATTGTGCGCGCTAGAAGGCAAGTTAGTAAAATGTCTGTTAAAGAGCTCAGATAGTTGTACTCCTGATACGCTCTCACCAGAAAGTGAAAGTTCATCTATTGAATTCTTCTGCTTGCTGCGTTTAAGCACTTCATTTATCGACTGCCAAACAATCGCAGGACGCTTCTTGTGGGCGTCATGAAAAAGACGTTTGTGATATTCTGTTTTTGATTTTTTAAGTGCAGATGTCAGTTGATTGCGATACCTCTTAAAAACTGCATGGTCACCGTCATCCTTTGAACAGAGGTACTCCTGATATAAGCGATTCTTTTTTCTTATCATTGTTAGAATAGGTGGCGTGACCCATGGTTTTCTTATTCGTTTTTTAGCAGTAACCGTCTTATATGGAAACGATGCGATGTATAGCGTCTTAAAAATATTTATGAAATCATCATATGCTTCGTTCACGCATTGCTTTGAAAAGACAGAAGTCCAGTCTGTTTGCATGACTGTGCTTCGAAAGGACCGCAGTTGGCAGTCGGTTATCGCTTGGAAAGTTACGAGTCTACCGACGCTCCGTGATAAATCACGGGTTTGAAAACAAAAAAATATTGGTAAATGATCGCTTATATCACTACTAATAGTACCTGCACTGCGAACTATAGTATTTATATTGGTAATAAAAACGTCGATACAACTTGCCGTAGAATGAGTAATTCTGGTGGGGGACACAATCACATTGCAAAAACCACTACTACTGAGTGTACTACTCAGTCGTGAAGAAAGAGAAGAGTTTTCCAAACTATTTACATTTAAGTCACCGCCCAGAACAAGTGAGTAGTTATTCAAGGATATGAAATCAAGATACCTCTCAAGAAAAGACAAAAAGTTATTAAAGCTACCAGCTGGCGGTCGATACATAACAGAAAGCAGCTGACGTCCGTGCTTCACAGTTACGATTTCATAGTCGTCTGTAATTTCGGTAAAGGCATCGAGTATTTCGCATCTAATATCCTGTCTAACATAGATACAAACACCTCCCCCTCGTTTTCCGCTTCGATTCAAAAAGAAGTGATTGTAACCCGGCACGATAAAAACATCGTCATCTGTTGCGTACCATGTTTCGGAAAGCATCACCGCTTCAAACGAAACACAGAGTTGATCTAAAAGAGTAATAAAATTGTCACTTTTACATTTCAAAGAGCGTATATTTAAATGTAAGATCGTGGTCGAGTCTTTGGTTCCTGCATATCGCTTTAGTTTAACAGGCAATAGAAGTTCATGGTATTCGGCCATGAAGCTAGAGGTTAAAAGGAAAAAAAAAGAAAAAACGGACAAACAAGTGCAAAGAAAACCGTGAATTACGCTGCAGTCGCACCAGCCTCAACGTTGCTTTCTGCACTATCGAAGTGGCGCGACACAGGAAGTGGTCCAAAAAATTGCCTGAAGATGCAGCCTTCTGGCCAGACAGACACGCTGTTTATCGCTTCAAATACTTCTTTGTCAACGAGAATGTGGAAAGACGCGTAGTAAGGAAGTTTGGTTTTCAATTTCGTGCATACGAAAGTTTTACCTTGCAAAACAGCAGCGACCAAATCCTCAACGTCCTTCGTACTTGTTTCCGGGGACAGTCTTGACACAAACAGGGCTCTTTCTTGTGGGGCACGTTGAATCACGGCTATCTTTGACGCTTTCGAAGTTCCGACAGAGGGCTTTACGGGCTTACGGCGGGTGACAAGGGTGAAGCCGTCACCATCCACGGTGCTTCGTGGAACGGAGTCTCGTTGGGCTGTAGACGCTGCAGGTGGAAGGAGCCCAGTTGGTCCGATGGCATTCGCTGAAGTGTCAGCTGGCAGCGCTTTTCGAGGTCTCGGTGGGCTCTGCTGTCGGGAACTCACGGCGGGAAACTCTACAGTGGCAGATGCGTAGGACGACGGACGAGAGCGGTCAGTTGTGTCTGAAATATTCCTGGAGCGTTGACTCACGAACAAAGAGACGGTGTCGTTGAGACGACGAACCTCTTGACGTAGCGAGGCGTTTTCCGCTTTTAGTCGTGCGAACTGGTCAACGAGCTCTTCCAGTACCGCTTGCATGTCTTTCTTTGATGTCGATGAACCTGCTGCAGCACAGAGAATGTCATCGGTGTCGGTTTCCGCGTCCATTGTATATTCCGTGGTTGAAATTCTAGGCGTGGGAACTTGGTCGTCGTCGTCGTTTTTTCGCTTGACGCATTTCGCACACTTGTACTGGCTCACCCCATCTTGCACGAGTAGGTCGTAGTCATCATTGACGATATTCACGCACTTGCAGTGAAAACGGGTTAAACACGCACAGCAAACAATCTGTTGCTGCTTGTGGTGAAATCCCGCGGAGCAGCTGCCACACGTGTCCTTCTGCCGCGCCATTCGCGCAGCGAAGTGGTCTCAGATGTCCAATAACGGTTCGTTCACACTATACAAGAACTCAAAAACGTCTTAGTAGTTCTAATCAGTCAAAAGATGCAGACGTTTGTAGCTCGAACACTTGTTCACCTCAATGTGCATTATACAAAATGATTTTTTTTTTCTTCTAATCTTTAGAGATTTGTTTAAAAATAAGCTGTGAAAGCTACACTTATGCAGTTGATGCAGGTGAGTTATACGGCAAGGGGGACATTGTAGATGGGGCTAATCGTAACCATCAGTCGGCTAATTAAGTAAAATGTGTTAATGAACTTTTTATTTAGTGTAAATAGTCACATGGTTCCAATTAGAAACTTGCTGAGCGTCGTCCGAAACTCCTAATTAAGTAATTTGCAGAAATACTTTGAGCGCGTGAGAAGCGCAGTAGTGCGCCAAAGTTACCACTCGTGAACATGCATAATGCAAGGGCACAAACGAGCCGGTGTACATTGCACATGGTTGGGAAAAAAACCGAGACTGCGGGTAAACGACACAACACTAAAAAGTCTCTAGAACTTTTTAGAGACTTTTTAGTGTTGTGTCGTTTACCACTTGTGGAGTTGGTAGGTACAAGGCTGGGGCTCTCATAAGAGACCCAAAAGTCGCGCAGGCGCCTTACCGCAACCGCTAGCCTTGTACCTGCTCGTGTGGTAAATTTAGTACACTACTACGCTTCTCACGCGCTCAAATTTCTTTCTGAAAATTACTGATTAAGTGGTTTTTGATGTCGCTCAGCAAGTTTCTAATTAGAACCATGTCTATTTTTATTAATTAAAAAGGTAATTGGATACTTCACTTAATTAGTGAACAGAACAGTACGATTATCCCCCTATTCTATGTTCCCCTGGCCGTAAAACTCACCTGCACAAACCGCATAAGCATAGCTTTCACAATTTTTTTAAAACAAACCTGTAAAGCTTAAAAAAACACCCTGTATAGTTTGATACCTAAGCATACATGTCACCCCCGCTACTCGGGGATCATCGCATTCTCAGAATAAAAATAAAAAATAAACAACGCTACTTCGTTGCTCACCAGCGCTTGTAAACAACCCTCTGAAAGTTCCCACTGGGTGCTGGGAAAACCATTTTCACCTTCTCGTCGCTGTAGTTCGTTGGAACCTACGATATCTAAAAGAGGTTTCTCCCACACTGAGAGAGTGAGCAGAATTATAACCTTTTTCTAAGAAACTACTGCAAAGTAATAAAATTGAGAGCTGGGCTTGTTGGTGAAAGTCAAACATAATGTAAATGCAGTAGCGCAAAACAAGGAAGACTAAGGAGAGGAACAAAGAACGCACAAAGCTGTACAAATATTTCCTGTGTATTTTGTTCCTTTGCCTGGTCTTCGTTGCTGTGCGCTGTTACACGTGCGTCATGTTTATTATTTTCAAGCAAATGCAAGTGGTTATAGAAGCGCACGTTTCTCATTGCCCGATTCTGTGAAGCTAGAAAAACTTTGCATTTCTATATTAGCCCAATTTTTCTCCGGGGTTCGCAAGCGGAGCTTCTCCTACAGATACGTTGCCACTAGGGATGTCAATGACTTTCGTCGAGTCGGAATTTCACGTCGAACCTCGAGGTTCGACTGGTTCGACGAACCTTCGAACTTTTACTCAGGTACTACAAGGTTCGACTTCTTGAACAGTGTGGCTAGACTTTGATACAAGCATGCATTACCAGATGCACCACCCGCTGACGGTAACTCTGTCAAATGGCCACCATCTCAAGGTTCCTCCTGCTTAAAAAGTTAGAAACATTATTTGATAGCCTATAAAATATATAACCTATCAATAATTTTATCAATGTAAAATTTGAAAAGTAGTTGGAAAAAACGAAAATCTGAAGAAAATTGGAACATGCGAATATTATTCCGCGCTATCTTTTTTTCAGAAACGAGGTTATTTACTTCAAGTAAACGACAGTAGTATATGGCTTTGTCAAAACATTTTCGCGATACATCTACGAAATAAATACCCACGTCTGTCTTCTATTTGCGAAACATATCCTTACACTAGTTTCGCTGCGTTTGAAATTTTCTGTCAGTTCTGGTACTCATTTTCTCACGCCTCCCAGTTACGGCCATAAGAATATACGGCCCACGCTCTTTTGCGACGGAGTCCCGAATTGATACACCAGTACAGGTTTCACAAGATAGTGATTAATATATTCATAATGAGATGGATCAAAATATAAAAAGTGTTTACGATTTCGATTGCATTCTAAGGTTTTAAAACTCAGATCGTGATTTTTCTTTACGAACTTATTTTGTAATTGCAACTCCGTTACTGACGCTTTTCTGCCTTGTTTTTCTTTTTGTGTAGGAGACGACGCAGTTCCTGTTGAAACACGATATGCCAGAAGTTCTCGGGGGCGCCTCATCAAGCCTTTATCAGAAAGATCTGAATCGGGTAAGACCAATATTGTCAGGTACAAATAATGAAGCGTTCCATCGCACACTTCCTTTTCAATTTATTTCAATGCAAAATTCCACTATTTCCCGAAGCTAACTCTGATTTTGTCTCGAAAAGTGAAGCGTATTAAGCTTGAAAAGAGTTGTCCGTTTGCCAAAACACCTGCGCCGCGAGTGCAACCAAAGAACAAGACTCAGTTCAAAGGACAAGACTCAGGAGAGAGTATTCAGAGACGCTTCAATTAACGTTCGTCAGCTGCGAAAACTTTGAAAGCGAAAACAAAGAAAGGAGAAACGGTACAAAAGGATTTGGATTGAAACAAACTTTATTTGTGCCTGCAGTTGGGCGCTCGCGCACCCCGACGAGGGCCTACGTCGTCTTCGGAGTTACTGTTACTCGGCGCGGGTCTCGGCTTGCTGTTGTCGGCTCGCCGGGTCCCTGCCTTTCGAGAGCCCCGAGGACCTGCTGGACGGCCCAAAGCTGTTGATCAAGGTCATAGCTCTTCGCAGCTGCCTCGAGCCGCGGCGGAATCGTTCTTGACCTTGCTTCCTCTGGGTGTTTGATGCAGTCCCATAAGATGTGCGTGTGATCTGCCGTCCCCCTCCGACAGACCTTGCACCTGTCGGTCGGGTATGTCTCGGGGTACACGCGATGCATCAGTCCTGGGCTTGGTAGCGATCCGGTCTGGAGCTGCCTCAGTAGTACCGCCTCCGCTCGACTCAGCCTCGGGTGCGGGGGTGGGAGAGTCTTGCGAGCCAGGCAGTAGGCCTTCGTGATGTCGTTATAGTCCGTCATGCGGCCCTTGGCTTCGAACCACGTCGAACGGTCTGTCGCCGGGGCGCGGTTGGTTAGCGCTCGCGCCGCTGCGTGTGCCGTCTCGTTGTGGTTGTCATCGCGTACCGACGCGTCGCCCACGTGCGCCGAGAACCCCTTGATTCTCACTTTTCTGTCTTGCAGTTTGACCGCTCGCAATACTCGCTCGGCCTCCCGGCAGACTTGGCCTTTCGTGAAGTTTCGCACCGCCTGTCTCGAGTCACTCAGCACCGTGTGGCAGCCTGCGTCGGCGATGGCCAGGGCGATGGCCACCTCCTCCGCTTGTTCCGCTCCGGCGCCTCTCATGTTTGCTGCCGTCCTCGTGGCGCCGGTCGAAGCCTCGATGACAACCGCTGCGAAGGCGTTCCGTTGATATTCGGCCGTGTCCACGTACCGCGCGTGCTCGTCATTGGCATGCAGGTCGATGAGAGCCTTCGCCCTCGCTCTCTTCTTTCCTTGTCGTAGTCCGGATTCATACTATTGGGTATGGGGTCGATTCTGGTCTGGCTTCGGACCTCTTCGGAGACTGGAAGCTTCGTTTCCGTCTCGTTCGAGTGTCCATTCCCAGGTCGTCCAGTATCCTGACTATCCTCCTCCCGGTTTTAGTCGTGGACAGCCGCTCCAGTTGAGCGGTCCGTTGCGCTTCGGCTATTTCTTCGAGCGTGTTATGTATCCCGAGTTGTAAGAAGCGGGTCGTACTCGTGGACTCGAACAGGCCTAGCGTCGTCTGCTCTTCGGATGATGGCGTTGATTTTGTTGCCTTCGTGTTGCAGCCATCTGTAGTAGGCCGCAACGTACGCAACGTGGCTAATGATGAAGGAATGAACGAGGCTGATTAGGCTCTCCTCTCTCATGCCTGCCTTCCGGGACGTGACTCTATGAGGAGTCGCGCTGCGTTGGCCGCTTTGGCCGTGAGACGGGCGACGGTTTCGCCGTTTCTTCTGTCCTTTTCAATGACTATGCCTAGGATCCTGATTTTGCCAATTACGGGGATCACGTTGCCGGATTTGGTTACGACACGGATCTTTTCGTATTCGCGTTGTCTGGTATTGCCTCTGCCGTTGTTAGTAGTCTGCATTATCAGGAGTTCCGATTTGCTCGGCGCGACTCTCAGTCCGGTGCCTTCCAGCTGGTTTTCTATCGCGTCGACGGCGGCTTGCAGCGGCCCCTCGATGTGGGCGTCGTTGCCGCCGGTCACTCACAGCGTGATATCGTCGGGATAGTCGGGCAACTTGGTATGTATTCATAATGAAACAGCGCGAATTTTACAAAGACAGAGGAAGAAACTTGACAGGACGAGCGCTGGGTAGCGCTCGTCCTGTCCAGTTTCTTCCTCTGTCCCTGTAAAATTCGCGCTGTTCCATTGTGATATCGTCCGCGTAGATGGTGTGCCTGACGTCTTCGATGTCTGCGAGCTTCTCGGCCACTCCGATCATTACCAAGTTGAACAACGTCGGCGAGATGACCGACCCCTGGGGTGTACCGGTACTCCCGAGCTCCTTCTCTTGCGTCCGTAGGTCGCCTGCTCGCAGCTCGGCGATCCTGTCCGTGAGGAAGTCCTTAATATAGTTATAGGATCTTTCGCCCATGTTGAGCTCGAAGACTTGGGACAGGATCGCCGAGTGTTTCACCCTGTCAAAAGCGTTCTGCAGGTCGAGCCCCATGATTGCCTTGTTGTCGCGGGCGTTGCCGCTGTCATCGATGATTTGGTATTTGAGTTGCAGCATCGCGTCCTGCGTGCTCAGGTGCCGTCTGAAACCGATCACCGTGGCCGGGTGCAGCCCTTCTCATTCCAGGTAGTCTTGCCACCTGTTGAGCAGGACGTACTCCAGCACCTTGCCCACGCACAACGTGAGCGAAATGGGCCGGAGGTTCTCCATGTTTGGCGGCTTCCCCGGCTTGGTGATCAAGATCGTCTTAGCTGTCTTCCACTGCTTCGGTAGCGCGCCCGCTCTCCAGCACTTGTTGAAGTATTTTGCTAGGTTTTCAATCGAGCCGTCGTCGAGGTTCTTGAGTGCCTTGTTCGTGACGAGACCCGGGCCGGCCGCTGACCGGGTGTTGAGGTCGTACAGGGCCGCGCGGACCTCCTCGATGTCGATGTCACGATCGAGCTTCGCGTTGGGAAGGCCGCCGTATGGCGCGTGTTGTTCGGTGGGTGTAGTTGGCAGGTATTTGTCGATGATGCGCCTGGTGACTTCGTCGGCGCCGTGCACCGAGACCGCCCGATGTATGGGGTCGGCGAATCTGTCTCTTTGGTGCGACTTGGTCTTGGTTTCGTCTAGCAGTTGCCGCAGCAGATGCCGCAGCAGGTTCCACGTCTTCCCGCTGTGCATCTGCCCGTCTGCCGCGTTGCAGATCTCGTTCCACTGTTGCACAAATAGCGTGCGGCAGTGATCCTCGATCGCTCGGTTGAGCTCCGCCATCTTCTTTCTAAGTCTGCGGTTGAGCCGTTGTTTCTTCCATCGATTGAGTATCGACTGTTTGGCTTCGATGAGATGCGCAAGCCGACTGTCTAATTTGTCGATCTCCGCGTCCGTTTCAAGTTCTTTTGTCGCATCGCGTACGCTCTTGGTGATTTCGACCGTCCAGGAGTCGATGTCTCCGATCTCGTCGTCTCCGTCTCTCTTCTGGTTTCGAGCGTCTCGGAAGGCGTCCCAGACTATCCATCTGTGTGTTCTGGTGCTGGTGTCGTTGTGTTCCGGTATGCTGATTTCCACGATGGTGTGGTCGCTGCCGAGGTCGGCCCTCGTGTTTCTCCAGGTGATCGCTCCTCGGGCGTCGTTCTTGACGAACGTGAGGTCTGGAGTGGTGTCCCGGGACACGGAGTTACCGATTCTCGCCGGATGCGTCGGGTCCGTGATGAGGATGAAGTCGAGTTCCGTGGCGTCTTGGTACAGGTAGCGGCCCTTTGCTGTGTACTTGCTGTAACCCCAGGCTGGGTTCATCGCGTTGAAGTCACCGCACGCGAGCAGCGTGTTGCGGCCCGCTGTGGTGCTGGCTCTGTGCAGTTATGTCTTGAATCTCTGTTTTCTCTGCGATGGGTTGCTGTAGACGTTGAGCAAAAATATACTTCCTTTTCTCTTCTTTCCCGGGATGATTTCGGTGAGTGCATGCTCGATCTTGCTATTGTCTGCAGCTCGTGTTCGACGAACGTGAGTCCCTTCCTGACCAGGGTGCACAGGCCTCTGCCGTCGGGCGGGCCCCTCTGCACCCTGTAGCCGGGGAGAGACGGTGCACCCGTCGGTGAGTGTCTCTTGTAGCAGTGTTACGTCCGGCTTACGCGCGGCATGTGCACCCACCACCACCAAGGAAGAAGGCAGTCATCCTGTTGGATGACTGCCTTCTTCCTTCCGAGGCCGCAACAGTTCTACTGCCACGCTGTTACGCCTACTGCTGCTGTTGTTGCGCTGGCGGCCATAATTGCGTTGGCGCGTACTGGGTTTTTTGGTTGGGTGAATGTTACGCGAAGAGGGGCGCAAACGTCGGGTGGCTCACGATCGGCTGTAGGGTCCTTTCGATGTAGGTGAATCTGTTCATGTTATCGGCTTGGTACGTCTCCATTGTTTGTTTCATTGCTGTCACTGCTGCGATGTTTACCGTGATGAGCTCTTCGAGTTTGGTGAATCTCGCCTCGAATTTGGCTTCGAGGTTGTCGATGCGATCGTCTTCTTTCTGTTTGCGCGTGGTCTCAACGGCTCGCTTCTTCAGGGCCGGCTCCGCTACGGCTGTCTCCTGGTTGTTCGTGGTTGTTTCCTCCGTCTTGCATGTGCTTGGCGTGGGTCTCTGTAGAGACTCGTTGTTACATAGCAGCAGCTTACGGATCTCGGCGATCTCTCTCGTGAGGTTATTGACGGTCTTTCGCAGCGCCACGTTCTCTTGCCTTAGGGTTTCGTTTCCTTCTCGCACCTCGTCCAAATCGTCTTTCTTCGTGGCGTCAGTGTTTTTCTGCGCACTCCTTTTATTGTTTCCTTTCACTGCGTCAACCCATCCCACTTGTTCACGTGGTGGTGACCTTGTCCTGCTGAGGCTTCTCTTGCAGCAGCTGCTGTCTCTGGATTTTGGCGCGCGGGTCTCTGATGGGGTCCTTGAATTTCGCGCATCTGGCGGCTTGTCGAGCGGCGAGAAATTGCTCTCCCACATCAGCTGACGTTCGGCCTGTCGTCGCTCCCATTGGCGTTTGCGCG